GTCAGCTCACTGCTGTGTCACTGACATGGAGTGCTGTGTGGAGAGGGTCCTCCAGAGCTGTGCAACCGCTAGGCCCTAGAGTCCCCTACGGGGCTCCCATGCCAGGCCTTGTTTCATCCTCCAGGTGATCCAAGCCCTAGGGCAGGCGTGGCATCCAGAGCACTTCATCTGTAGTCACTGCAAAGAAGAGATTGGCTCCAAGCCCTTCTTTGAGCGCAGTGGCTTGGCCTACTGTCCCAAGGACTACCACCATCTTTTTTCTCCACGCTGTGCTTACTGTGCTGCTCCCATCCTGGACGTAAGTAAATCCCCCTTTCCCTGCTTTCCTGTAGCCTGTACTCATTTAGAACTGGGGTCATGTTTTACAGCTCTGCAGCATTCTAATATTTCTCTGTGTGTTCTTTTTTCAGAAAGTGCTGACAGCAATGAACCAAACCTGGCACCCGGAGCACTTCTTCTGCTCTCACTGCGGAGAGGTGTTTGGTGCAGAAGGTACGACCCGGGGGAACCTTGATCTGCCTTCCTTGATCTGCCATGGTAGTCCGGGTCCCTGACACTGCCACCCACATGCCTGTTTCAGTACTAGATGCCATCCCTCCCTACGTTTTCCCAACATTTATAAATTTTGTTTAAATTAAAATTTTAAACCAAAAAAAAAAGAATGCATAATTTAAAAACTCAAACATTACTTCAAGGGTAATATTGAAAAAGATTGGTCACCTGCTGCTCCTTTCTCCACCCCGAATCTCGTTCTCCTCTCCTAATTTTTTAAGCTTTCTCTTCTGTTATTTACTTGTGTTTTAAATACTATATTACTATAGATTGATTTCCCCCCCCCTAATTTTAATCATTATGTATTTACTTTCTCCCAGGGAAGATGAGGATTTAGAAATGTTCTTACTATCCCACCTTACCCCCAACATATTCCCCCTCACCCCGCTCTCTCAGCATATAATTATATTCCTAACTATTATTTACTTCATCCCCACTACAGCCTTGTGAGGGCAATTTTCGTCCACATTTTACCTAGTTATAGATGAAAACACTGAACCTCAGGGAGGTAAAGTGATTTTCTTCAAGTCATGCGGCTGGAAAGTCAAAGAGTTGAAATTTAAATTCTGGTCTTATTTCTGCAAGTTCTATGTGTTGTTGTTGTGTTTTCTACAACATGGTAACTGCCCCTTGACGGAGACTCAATTCCTCTTCCGTTGTTGGATCTTTTTTACTTTCTTGGCACCGACATGACACACTGTATTTAAAGACAGAGCCAGATCGAGTAGCACTGACAGAGTCCACTAGCAAAGTGCTTTGTAGTAATTTGCTCGTTCACTGAAGCTTGTTCACGGCTTTTCACAAATCATTAGGTCTTTCATTTCCAGATTACACTTTAGTGAAGCAGCATTTTTCATTGAGATTTCATCTAAAGTATATTGAAATGTGTCATGGTAAATTAACATTGTATTGGGAGTCACAAAGGCTGAGCGTTAGTTGAGTAGAACAATCAGCAAGCGAACACTGCCCAGGGATGAGTAGGCTCTGGCAGCTGCCTGAGAACAGAGCAGGATACAGGCATATTTCAAGAGACATAAGTTAGATACAAGAGAAAAATATCCTATCCATAGGATGACCAGGAAGCACTGTGAAGGTAGCTAGTTCTCACTGTTCTTGACTTGGGCCCCGTCTAAACAAGCAAGGCTGATTGGGTCATTTATGGCTTTACATAAATATGATGTCACACCTAAGATGTATTTGTTTAGACAACTAATAAAAAAGGCCATTTGTTAATCAGAAGCTCCTTTTGGGTAGTATTTTTGTTTATATCCTTTGCTTTTTGTAAATGGGTCTCCTACCATATGGTTAGTCCATTTATTAGGTGGCGTCCTGCCTTACCCTAAGTCACATAGCCCCACACCGAGCTTCTATAATGACAGTTTAACCACTAAGCCTCCTGGGAAATTAAATGCATCTGCATTTATGTTTCAGTTCAGGGAACTCCTCTTTAAGGTTCAAGTTTCTAAGCACAGAGGCCGTAGCATCCTCCCGTAGGGACCAGGTCCTCAGTGCCTACCTCTTTCTTTTTAATTGTTCATTATCCGGGCCATGCAGGAGCTCCCCAATTTCCCCTGTGGCTTAGAGCCTCACCAGAGTATGAGCGTCCTCCCTCTCTCTCTGTGGCACTTTTAATTGTTAGTGTTTCTCATCCATCCTCCGGAGGTAATTGGCCCCAGAGAGAGCCTCTAGGAAAGTAAGTTCTGAAACTTTCTCAATTTATTGGATACTGAATGCAGGGGTATCACAGAAGTTTGGCTGATTGCTTTTGATTCCTCTCCTGAGACTCACCTGAGTTCACACAGAGGCTGTGATTTCTCGGCTAGCTCATTCTTGTGACCAGCTAGCTACCCTGCAAATGCCTGGATGAGGGTCATTCCTAGGTCAGTTGGCATGTCTTACAGTTTTCACAAGTAANCTGTTTTCTTACCAGCTCTGTCACCAGCCATTCTGTTCTGCCCCCTGGAGGTAGTCAGTATTTCCTGTTTCTTACGTATCTATTCAGGAGTGCTCTGGAATATACATGCAGATAGATACAGCTGGAAATGTAGATACAAATATATTATTGTTTTTAATTACTTTTCATACTTATTATTGGTCGCCCTCCCAGGCCTTTTAGACATTAACTTTTTGAACACTAATATTTTCAACATTAATTAACATTATATAATAGACGCGGAAGGAAATCTGTCAGATGATGAAAGTTTCTGGCAGGGAAATGAGCACTTTGCATTAGTGAGATAAGGTGAGGTTATTCCTGGCTGTCAAGTAGGATAAGCAGAGGCCTGAAGTCAGGCTGTAACAGATCCCATTCAGGAGACCGCGTGGAGCCTGGCCAGCCTTAAACAATGGAAGATTTTACTGAGTGATGAAAGATGAGATTGGGAAGGCACAGTGAGGGCAGTGGATGGGAAACTTCGAATGTCTGTAAGATATGTGCAAATTTGGTGCTGGAAGCAATGGGCAGTCCTTGTAGCTTTCTGATCAGGAAGTATTAGAGAGAGGGTAGCAGCAGCCCAGTTGGAAAGGAGTTGAGAGAGATGGAATCAGAACATCAGCTGATGAAGGATAAGTTGGGCATCTTCTTTTGTAATTTGAGTCTTTTCCTTCGAATGTTTTATAATCACGATTTTTGAATTTTGCTTCAATAACTCAATCCATCAGCAAGTCTTTTTTCTTGCCAGACATTGTTTTATTGAACCTAAGATGACAATAGAAACCCAGTTTCTCTACTGACATTTTCCATCTATCGTTCTCCTTGCTGAGCTTTTTCTTAGCCATCAGCAAGTCTTATCTGACAACTTCTCACTTCCTTCTCCAATATCCCTGGTCCAAGTCATTATTTCTGGTTTGAGCTGTTAATAACAGTCTCCCACCTAACTAGTGCCTCTAATTCCACTCTAGAGTTAATTCTTCACTCAGCTACCACAGGGATCTTATAAATCAGATTCTTTCACTCTCATGTTTGAAACCCTTCAATGGATCTATCACCCTTGGAATAAAAACCCAAGCTTTTACCATGAGGGTAAAAATATGATCGTTGTGATCTTTGCCTCTCATCATTATCTTCCCCAGCCACAGTCATTCTCATTTCCTCTGCTCGAGCCCCAGTGACCCTTCTTACTTCTCTTCTAATGTACCAAACTGTTTCCTTCCCCTGGGCCTCCCCTCCCCCTGGAATGCTTTCCCCACAAATATCAATATTTCTGTGTCCCTAAGTATATCACTCAAATATCTGCTCAAATATCACATCATTGGAGGTCTTTCTCTGATCACCCTCATTCAAATAATGTCTTCCCCACCATCTCTCCTTTTGTCACTTTTATCTCGAAATATATAATTTATATTTTATTTCCACTTGACATTACATCCTATATTTATTTAATTGTTTATTGTCTTATCATCCAGAGACTGTAAACTTCATGAGCCTAGAGCAGTGATTGGCACAAACTAGGTGCTCAACAAACACTACAGAATAAATGAATAACAAGATTGTTGACCTGTGGTCATCATAAGAGCCAGAAAAGGTATCATCTTCACCCATTCAATTTCCTATGGTCAGAAAAGATTTACAAATGAAGGAAGATTAGTCAGATTTCATTCAGCCTAGGGAACTTAGAATGAAAGAGATAAAAGCATTTTTATTGGTATTACAATGTTGGATTCTCCATGCTTTGGAGGAAAGTTCGGGAAAGACTAAAGGGTGAGTCAGCAGAGGTGAGCTCATAGGATCTTACAGAAGATGCCATTGAGGATAAATGTCCATGAGGTTGATTCTCTTCATGGTTCTGTCCTTGGTACCAGGTTGCAGTGAAAGCAGATGCCAGCAAGAAGCACATACCAGACAAGCAGGATGACAAGGCCTCCCTGGACTCAATGCTGGGGGGTTTGGAGCAGGAATTGCAAGACCTTGGAATTGCCACAGTGCCCAAGGGTCATTGTGCTTCCTGCCAGAAACCCATTGCTGGAAAGGTGGGACGGACCAAGGTGTTGGTCCTACAGCCAACTATGCTTGTATCTACATCTCTCACTGTCCCACCAGGATTGCTCTTTCTCCTTATATTCTAAGATGTTTTTCTAATAGTTAATAACTACTGATCACNTTGTTAGATAATTCATCTGACATTTTCTAGGTAAATTATCATACTATCTATTTTAAAAGAAAATAGGAGAGTGCTTTGCCTTTTTCTTTCAAATATAGAAATCTGTTATTTTTATTTTTAAATGCAGTCTGGAATAATGTTGAAGACCAGCAATGACAGTAGGACCCTTGTCCTCCCCTTCTTTTAATTAGAAATGTGCTTAGTATTTGACTATTAAATATAAGGCTCGTTATAGATTTCTTATAGACATATTTTATCAGTTATGGAATTTTTCTGCTTTTCTTTGATCTTCAGCAATAGGAATGGTGGTTGAATTTGTTTTCAACTGCTTTTCAGCACCTATTAATATGTTTATTAAGTTTTCTCTTATTTGTTACTATAATGCATTATATTAATCCTTTTCATAATGCCAAACCATTCTGGGCTGGCTGGTATAAATTCTACCTAGCCACAGTTCTGCACTTTTTATCTAAGTGTATCTCTGTATCTCTCTCTCTCTGAACGCGCGCACACACACACACACACACACACACACACACACACACACTGTTCTCTCTTTGTCTGGTTTTAGTATCAAGTTTCTGTGATATTCATAGAACTTATTTGGTGATTTTCCATGTTCTTGAAAACTTACACAATGCATAAAAATAAACTGTCAGTTGATTTTTATAAACTACCAGTTCTTGAGTTGGATTTTTGTTTATTCAGTTCTGCATTTTTATTATTTTTCAATATTGCATCTAAGTCTATTTACGAGTATATTTTTTCTTTTCAATAATATTTTGCTTTCAACACTGAAGGGTGTGTATGCTTTCACAGCTATTTCTAAACAGTTTGAAAATTCGGTTTAATTTTTTTTCTTCATCCCAAGAATTATTTAAAGTGCTTTATTTTTTCTTAAGTGGGCAGGATTTTTTTTTTATGGTTTATTTGTACTTTCTTCCACCACAATCGAAGAATATGGTCTGTATAATTTACTTCTTAGAATTTACGGAGCTGCTTTTTGCTGTGTCCTCACACATGGTTAATTTTAGTAACATTGTTCAAGCAATTGAATAGAATCTGTATTCTGTTTCTTGGGTTCAAAATTTTATTTATTAATAATTTATTCATGATTATATGGATCTGAAACCAACATCATATATTGTACATTATCGAAACTCTATCAAGGGTCTGCAAACTTTTTTTTGTAAAAGTCAAATAGCAAATATTTTAGGCTTTGTGGACCATAAGGTCTCTGTCACAGCTGTCAGTTTTCCAGCTCTGGAGGGAAATGGATGTAGACAATATGTCAATGAATGGGCATGGCCAAATGTGGCCCATGGACCTTAATTTGCCGATGACTGTTTTATACTCTTATTTATTTTTTGTCTGTCACCTGGCAATAACTGAGAGAAGAGACAATATTTTATAATTTCAAAAGAATGCTATTAAAAATTTTAAAAATACATATTGGGCTATGGTCTTAAATTTCTTTTCAGAGGCTGCTTTGCACCTGGCTGTTGGCGGAGAATGGCCTGCCAGCTACCTGTCTAGTGCTTTTCTTCACGTGCTTGAGAACAGTTTTTGAGATGGCCAGAGGGAGACATAGAGACATATTTTTAGCCTAGTACCTATATTGTAAAATACTCTGTCTCTAGTTTTACTCACATCTAAGGGGTTAATAGTTAAATCTGCATTTTCTGGTATTTTATGTGTGGCTTAACATCTATTTGAGNCCACTCGGCCAGCCCTCCATGTATTTCTTATAACAACCCTTTGAGCAGGTATCTATTATGAGCCCCATTTTGAATATGAAGACACTGAGTTTGGGAGAGTTTAAACCATTGTCCTCTTTGCAGCCTCCACCTTGGCTTAAGGTCTCAAACGGCAACGGTGAACTCTGATTTTCTCTCTCCAGGTTTTCACGAGAAGGACAAGAAGCCATATTGCCGAAAGGATTTCTTAGCCATGTTCTCACCCAGGTGTGGTGGCTGCAACCGCCCGGTGTTGGAAAACTACCTTTCAGCCATGGACAATGTCTGGCACCCAGAGTGCTTTGTCTGTGGGGTCTGTATATGCACTTATCTTTTGGATTTAGGGAAAATCAGGGATTCTCCTGTCTGAGTGGCAGAACTGCAAATGCTAAGAGGGCTCACAGCTTGGGATGAGGAATTGATGTGGGCTTCCTAAAGGAGACAAAACCCACAGCATCAATTGTGGGCATTTCCCTGTATGTTTTGCAAGTGGGCGATACCCTAGTCTCCATTTGACAAGGACCTGAGTGAATTCCTGCAACTGGCAGGTAACTGGCAGGAGTTCCAAGGCTGAAAGTGTTATCTTGCTGATGTTTTACTTCTTGACATCTGTATTCCTTTTCTATCTCTTCTCTCCATCTTCCAGGACTGCTTCAGCAGTTTCTCTGCCGGCTCCTTCTTTGAACTGGATGGACGTCCATTCTGTGAGCTCCATTACCATCACCGCCGAGGCACCCTCTGCCATGGATGTGGGCAGCCCATCACCGGCCGCTGCATCAGTGCCATGGGCCACAAGTTCCATCCTGAGCACTTCGTATGTGCTTTCTGCCTGACACAGCTGTCAAAGGGAATCTTCAAGGAACAGAATGACAAGACCTATTGTCAACCCTGCTTCAATAAGCTCTTCCTACTGTAACCTCAGCTGGACCCACAGCCTCTTCAGAT